ACTACAGTAACACTTGTAACACTTGTAACACTCTCGAACCTCATATGTAATAAAAATTAAATTATAAAATAAAAATATGTATAAACCACACATATTTTTTGGTATATTATAAATCTTTGTAATTACAATAGGATTCATAGGAGGATTTTTTTTATGTTAAAGTTTGTCCAGTTTTGTGGAGACAAGAAAGTGTTGAGAAGCGTCTTCTTAATTATTATTATAATAATAATACTAATAATGATAATAATAATAATAACAATAATATATTTATTATTTTCTGCAGTATACATGTAATGTAGTTTATATGTAATAGATATTGTTAAGTCATAAAAGAAACTCACTGTATATAGTGTATTTCATGCAGTTAATTAGTATATAAATTTATTTAGGCACAGGTATATATAACTACAATTATCATACATAATATAAATTACCAACCAGGATAACCCAAAAAAAAGTCAGAGAAAGTGACTTATTTCCATTGGGGTCTTGGGTATAATAGTGGCCATACCCGGTTACACATTATCTAATGGTTATAATTATAACCATAATTTTTCAAAGGGTAGAGAGATAAGCCAGTGGAAGGTCTCGGTCAGATGACCAAAAGTTCCAGCTGTGGTTATCATAAGACTAAGACCCACGTCAGAAAACACTTATCTTTTTTTTTTAATAAACCTCATCTATCATGAAAAAATGGTATGATGACTGGAAAAAGACATTATGTACGGTTGAGGACATTTATTAGAGGTAACGTTAAGCTACCAGTGGATTCTTCAGTCCTAATAGTTTGATAATAAGATGTTATCTCCATTATAGAATAATAATAAGATATTATCACCTTTATATTATAATAATAAGGTAAAAGGACACCAATGGAAATAAGTCACTAACTTTTTTTTTTGGTTATCCTGGTGGGTAATTTACATTATATATGATAATTATACTTATGTGTACCTGTACCTAAATAAACTTATTGAAGAAGCTACTAATGTCCAAACGTTTCCTTTAATTAATGTCCTGAACTGTACATGTGTTTTTTTTTCACATTACCGAGCCATATATCAATATTTGCACCAATAACTCACTACAGTTGTGACCGGGTGTGGAAGTGTAAATTGCTCATTACTCTATAATTTGTTCATGATTGTAGCCATGTATAAACGTAAGTAACCATTCTTACAGTATTCATTACCTTTGTAACTTGTGAGTTCATTACCTTTGTACCTAGTTCAGCTATCACAACTTTGGAGCCCGGTCCCTGGACCCATTACGTACCTCTGTAATCTGTAAATACCCTTGTAACTTGTCATGATTGTGACCAGACCTACCTGGAGTTCATTACCTTTGTAAATTGTGAGTTCATTACCTTTGTAAATTGTGAGTTCATTACCTTTGTAAATTGTGAGTTCATTACCTTTGTAAATTGTGAGTTCATTCCTTTGTAAATTGTGAGTTCATTACCTTTGTAAATTGTTGAGTTCATTACCTTGTAAATTGTGAGTTCATTACTTTGTAACTTGCTCAGCTATCAAACTTTGGAGTCCAGTCCCTGGACCAATTATGTACCTCTTAATCTTTTGACTACCGCCCACAGGATGGGTATGGGGTGACTACCGCCCACAGGATGGGTATGGGGTGACTACCGCCCACAGGATGGGTATGGGGTGACTACCGCCCACAGGATGGGTATGGGGTGACTACCGTCCCACAGGATGTGGTATGGGTGACTTACACCACAGGATTGGGTATGGGGTGCATAATAAACTATTAAGCTAATAACTAGCCATAGTGAGACGTGTACTGATCCAGTCACTGACTGGATCATCCTGGTGGGTAATTTACACATATATTACTGTACATGTGTAACTGTGTGGCTGTACCTAAATAAACTTACATTGTGTCTTGTGGTACAAACTGCTGATTTGGAGGCAGGATCCATGTATAACATTAAGAAGGGGAAAGGGGATAAACTTTTGGGCCCCCCAAGGGCGAATTGATCTTTTTGGGACTAGTGAAAAAATTTTAAATTATTTTTTTTTTTCACACCATAAAACCCATCTTGTGGGTGGCAGTAAAAAGGGTTTTACAGAGGTTTACATAATGGGTACGGGCCCACCGGGTTCTGAAAACCTAAAAAAGTTATAAAGGAAATAAAACCCTTTTCCCACTCCACCCCTGTCAAAAGGTATGTAAGTTTATTCGGGTTTATACACAAAAAAGGTTTATACAGATTACCCATCCCATAGAAAACATATGTTTTGGGAAAAAAGGGATAACAAAAAAAGGTAAAGGACTTATTTCCATTGGGGTCCTTGGGGGTAAAATGGGTCCGGGGAAATTTATAATCAAAACTGGGCGAAAAAACTCACAAGGGCATACAACACTGCTAAGAGGCGGGGGCCAGGAGCTGTGACTCAACCCCTCCCAACCACAAATAAGTTGTTCGCCCCTTCACTACTTTTGGCAAAAGTTTTCTACCAAAAGAGTGCCCATAGGGACGGGCAAAAGCACATTTATTTTAATTTTTTAAAATTTTTTTTTTAAAGTTTATACCAGGGTTTTTAACAGTGGATTTAAAATACAAATAAAAAGTGGATACCAATAATAACATAAAAAAAAATTTGTAAGTCATTAAAAAAAAAGTCACTTTAAACCCAGAAAATATAAACTGAAACATTTCCCCAGGCCAAAACAACTAGCAGTTTTTAAGTAAAAAAATTTGATGATTAATACCCCTGTTAAAGCAGCTTTTATTGATGAAACTTTACCCCTTAAAACAGTGGCTTCTTCGGGTAAAATACAGTCAGTCAGTTTGCAGTGAAGAATTGATTTTAATCAGCCCAAAAACCCGGGAAAAGGGGTTCAACTTCATGGTGAACAACCTCGGGACTTTTACCAGGGTGAAAAACCCTCACCCACTATTACCATGGGGGGAAAAACCCCTCGTCCCCTTTTACCATGGGGGAAAACCTCAGTCACCATTACCATGGTGAAAAACCTCAGTCACCATTACCTTTGGTGAAAAACCCCCAGTCACCATTACCATGGTGAACACCTCGTCCCTTTTCCCATGGTGAAAAAAACCTCAGTCCCCTTTCCCTTTGGTGAAAAACCTTCGCCACTTTTTCCCATGGTGAAAAAACCTCAGCCCCCCCTTTTTACCATGGGGGGAAAAAACCTCAGTCCCCCTTCCCCATGGTGAAAAACCCTCACCCAAACCATTCCCAAATGTGTGAAAAACCCTCACCCAAATATTATCAGGTGAACAACCTCACCCACTATTACCATGGTGAAAACCCTTTAAATCTGCTTGCCACCAAAGTAAACACAACCTAGCCCCCCAATTTTACTATGGTGAAAAACAACCTCAGCCCCATTTTCCGGGAAAAACCCCTTTCAGCCCCCCTACCTTTGGAAACAACCTCAGCCACCCTCCCATGGTAAAAACCTCAGCCACCAATTACCATGGAAAACCCTCAGCCACCATAAAATGGTAACCTCCCCACCATACCAGGGTAACAACCTCAGCACCCCCACTCCCCCTTTGGAACAACCTCAGCCACTGCAAACCATGGGGGAACACAACCTCAGCCCCCCACTACCATGGGGGAACACAACCTCGCCACCATACCATGGTAAAACCTCGCCACCATACCAGGGTAAAAAACCTCAGCCCCCACTACCATGGTAAAAACCCTCAGCCCTGCTACCTTGGTGAAAACAACCTCAGCCACCACTCCCCCAGGGGGAAAACAAAACCCTAGCACCCATACCTTGGTAACAACCTCGGCCCCCACTCCATGGTAAAAACCTCCAGTCACCACTCCCAAATGGAAAAACCCAGCCCCCAAATACCATGGTAACAACCTCATTTAAATCCTACCATGGTGTAAATTTTCCACAGAGACAAAACAAAAAAAAAAATTGTTTTTTTCAGCCCCCTTAATATGTTAAAATTAAAATCCTTTGGTGTCTTTTAAAACATTTATTTGTAACGGGAATGGAAGATGAATAATTAATTATTGCGGGATTTTTGGAGTAAAAAATTTTTAAAATTTCCATGAACTATATACCCCCTTTTTTATAGGCAAATAAAACCCTCTCCTTCCTCTCGTTTTTTAAAAATGTATACAAATTTATCTTTTTGGGTTTACATTTGGGAAATTTTTATCTTTGCGGTGCCCCTTGGCCTGGTAGGAAAAAATTCTACTTCACGCTAAAATGTCCAGGGGTTCGATCCCTGGCAAAGGGGGGAAAAAACTTGGGGCATTTTTCCCTTAAACCACTGTTGTCCTCTTACCTAGCAAGAAAGTAGGTCCCGGAGGTTAGTAAAACGGGTGTGGTCAAATTTAAGGGGGACAAGATTGGGGACTTTAAGTGGAAATAAAAAAGAAAAACCCCTTGGGTGTCCCCGCCTTTTTTGGGTTGGCAAACCCTCGGGTTAAAAAATTGAACAAAAATCTGATCATAAGCAAAAATTCTTGAAGCTCAAGCCATCAAACCTAAACCCTTTCCCGTGCTGTATTCCCCCCTCTGTGAGTTTTATGCTAGGGTTTGATCATAAAAATAATAAAAATTTAAACCATCGGCAGTAGGCCCCCGTCCAAAAGACATTTAAACCTAATTCCCTTTTTTTGACCCACTATCCCTTTCAGAAATAACCCCCAAAATAAAATAAAAAAAAAAATACAGATTCAGGTAGTTTTGTTTAAATTTAAAAACCAAAAAATCAAGGGAAAAAAATACATAAGTATTATATTTGTTTTATTATTTTAATCATAACCATATGCTAAACCCATTTTGGGGGAATACACCTCTTCAGCCTTTGTAATTTCTCTTCACCAAAATTTTTAAGGAAAAACCCTTTTTAGGTGTCTCAGTGAGCCCAGTTAACACCCCCCCAAAAAAGGTGGTTTATTTAACTGAGTGTTTATTAATTACAAACCAAATCTCAAATCTTCCAGTTTCTTCAAAATTTTTTGAGAAATTAATTTCCAAATACTGTACAATAACAACACTCTCTACCCAAAGCTAACCAGGATTTTTAATTGGAGGGCTCTAAATAATATTTCAAACTGAAGGGGGGCTTAAAAAAAACAGTTTGGAAAAATAAACCTTATGCCCGTTTAATGTGTTCCCTTTTTTGACGTTTCGCCCCCAAAAGTGGGCTTTTTTTTTGTTACAAAAGATCTATTTTGTTTTCAAAATCAAAAATTTTTATAATAAAAAGAAGTGTAAGCCAAAAAGGGCTTTTCGCTACAAAATTTAAAGAAAAAATCTTTTTTAAAAGTGATTTTTAATTTTTGTTTTTTGAAAATTTTTTGGGAAAAATTTATTTTTTCTGGGGCCCTTTGGAATTGGGAATTTTAGGGGAAAAATTAGCCCAAAAAATTTTTAACAATAAACTTTTGGGGATCTCGGGGGGTTTAAACTTTCCCTGGGACTACCAAAGACCATATATTCCTTTGTGCCCCCCCTGTATACCCTCCTTTAAGCCCGTCTTAAACTTTATCAATTTTTAAAAATGAACCCTTTATTAATTTGTTTTTTTGGCCCCATTGACTGTCTCCCACCAAGGCAGGGTGACCCGAAAAAGAAGAAACAAAACCAAATTTCATTTTCTAAAAACCCCCGGGAAATAAAAAGTATCAAATATTCGAAAAAAGAAATTAAAAAAAAGGTTTCAAGGGATCTCAAGACTGAAAAAGATAAGATAAGATTAAAATTTCTTTCGGGTTTTTTTAACCCCCCCGGGGGGTTAGCCACCAGGATAAAACCAAGGAAAATCATGCGTCATCGAGGAATGTCTAACCCTTTTTTCCCTTGGGGTCCCAAAACTTGTCCCCCCAGGTTTCGACCCCCACACCAATCGATTAAAAACCCGTTTTAAGGAAAAGTGTAAATGTTTCCCCCCCGCCGGGAAATCGAACCCAAAGGGCCCCCCGTGTGTGAAGCGGGGGGTTTAGCCACCAGGCCACCGGGGCCCCCTTAAAAAAATTTAGGGAAACCCTTTTGTGTACCTAAAATTGATGCAAAATTACCTTTTTTTGGTAACCCCGGGGAAACTATTTTTTATCCTTTTTTAAATTTTTTATAATGTTATCTCTTAGCTTTTCCCTTTTCCAATTATGCCATTTTTATTTTTTTTCTACAAATTTTTTTTTGTTTTTTTTTCCTCCTTTTTTTTTGTTTTTTACCATCAGTTAAAAAAGGCCCCATATCTCCAAATGTTAATTTAAATTTAAAATTTCCAAAAATTTTTATTTTGGAAAGCTTCTCTTATTTAAAATAGTTCCAAAAGGGGTGCCCTTTCTCAACTTGTTTAAAAAAAAAAAGCAATGATGGGGCCCATGCTGTCGGAAAAAAAACTTTTTGATTTTAGTGAAATTTTTAAAAAATTTGATATTTTACTGTTATAATTTTTATAATACAGTATGGGTTTAAATTTTTTAAATTTAAAATTTTTTTTTGTTTTAAATTTTTGAGATCTACATCCCGTTGGTATGACGGTTGGGGGAAAAAAATTTACAGAAAGGAAAATTTTCAAGGTGTCCGAAGATTGTTTGGCTTGTGGCTGGTTGGTGGCGGTGGTTGCCTTGGAGCTTCTCTTATTTTGGGTTTTTTAAAAGGTTCCCAAAAAAATAAAATTTTCATTGGGAGTTTGCTCACCTTTTTACTTGGTGCAGGTGATTATTTTTCACTTGGTACTATAAACCTCATGTAACACAATAGCATCAGTGTGTTAATGTAACTTGTTTTGTAGCCAGGTACTTGGTCTGGGACCAGGGCATGAGGGTGCTGGTCACTGAACACTCTCCAGGTAATATACAATTGAATGAAAGATGGGCAAAGTGGCATAGGAAATGGCATCTTTGGCATGCATGGAAAAATTTACAAGTACATGTACAAGATTTCAATGATTAATGTGTAAAGTGAGAATAAATAACCAGCTGAATGAAGATATTTATAAAATTACTTCAGTAATAGTTAAGGGTATACAGAATTTATTATTATGATTGTGAAATAGATTTACACGGCTGATGGTAAAAGTGGAAATAACACAGAACATATTAGTTGTCTTGTTAATGTAATAATTCATCCAACCTGCCACAAAAAATCTTTTGAGAGACAAGACTTGCCTGAAGGATTCCTGGAGGATACCTGAAGAGTGCTGTTAGGGGTCAATGCCCCCTATTCCAGACCTGGCTCCTTGGTGGATCAAGGCCTGATAAACCAGGCTGTTACTACTGGCTATTCAGTTCACATAATACAAGTATGGCAGGAAGATGTTGTCTGTAAAGTAAGCCTCTATTTATAGATTAATTTCCACTGTAACAACTTTTGCTGTAAAATACAACAAAGCATAGTCTGTAAATAAAGGTTTGCTCAGCACAGTCTACCACGACCTGCTACAAATTCCATCTATTATGTTTTCATGGCTTTTGCTCCTGAGAACTAAAGCATCCTATAGCTTTTATTATAATAATTATAATCATGGGGGAGCACTAAACCCATAGGGTTATACAGTGCATGTGGGGGGAGGGGGATAGAAGGTATTCAGGCTCAATTCAGGAAACTGGAGCACAGATCCAATTGACTAGATCAAGAGCCCCTCGCCAGCATCAAGGAACCTCCCTTGAAGGGTATAGCTTTTGTGCAAGTTCATATTTGAAATTTTTTTTTTGTACTACTGTACAATTAACCCAAGAATATTTTTATAATAATGGTATATGTACATATAGTCCTCCACAGGAAAGTGGAAAAGAATCTTTCCTCTTTAAGCCATGCGTGTCATAAGAGGCGACTTAAATGCCAGTAGCAAGGGGATAGTATCCCCTTTTCCTGTATAAATTGCTGGTAACCCCTTCTGTATAAATTACTAAATTTAAAAAGAAAATTTAGTTACCCTGCCTTGGTGGGATATGGCTGGTTTGTTGAAAAAAAAATTTAGTTTCTTTTTTTCGGGTCACCCTGCCTCACCCAGCCAGTGTTAAAAAACAAAAAATATACATGTATATATATATATACATGTAGTACCGACAAGTAGATTAAAACAATTGTGCAACAGTCGAGTATATTGTCAAAATGTTTTGCCTGCTCACCAGGCTTCTTCAGTCATATACAGAAGTGACTAATAATGGAGACAGCCATAATGAAGAGGTTAATGAGGTGATCAGTCCCTCAGCTTTGATTAGTGTTCAGCTCTATAGCCTTGATCATTGGTTGTGGCTATGGACCAATGATAGAGGCTATGGTGATGAACATGTATCACCACCTCAATTTATATTTTTAAAGGCTAAAAGACTGATCACCTCGTATACAGCTCCTGGGTGAATGGGTACATTTAGGTTCGATCTAAGGACAGGGTATGCCCAGTTTCATAGATCCAGACCCCTTGCCAGCTCTAAGGAATTACCCTTGAAGGGTCTCCTAGCCAAGTTTTACTGAATATGTAGATCAGCTCTTTGAGATAGAATTTTTTTTCATGTAACAGGCTATTTGTATTGATGTTTACAATGTAATATTGGCTTGCTTTGAGAACCTGTATTGAAAAGTTTTGAATAAGCAAATCTAATCTTATATTTCAGCACTTGCTGGAGTGGGCATAACAAGGTTATTGAGACTTCCACCATTTGATAAGAGTAAGTGGAAACATCAGTCATAACTAAGATGAATTGGAAAGAGCAAGTGAACAGCTTATTGTATACAAGTGTTGAAAATATGTATAAATAAATGAAACAATATTGGATATGTTTTATTTTTCAAGTCCTTATTAATTACTGCATAAACAATGAGGCAGGCACAGACATTTTATTCATAACATTAGGGTGACTACATAAGAGATACTTCACTGAACAATTCTGAATCACATTTTCAGGATCTACTTTTATCACAGGAGTATACAGAATATATTGGAAAAAGTTTAAGCTTGGTTATATTGTTCAAAATGGTGGTGTGCACGCACAATTTTAAACAACTATAATTTACAAAATTTGAGCATTTACTAATGTTAAAACATTATTAAATGTTCTAACACTGGAAGTTGTCATGTTAAACCCCAAAATTAGCTGAAGGGTGTTTATTACATATATTTGGCATGAGTTTATATCACTAACCATTATGTCAATAGTAAACATAAATTAGATGTAGCAACACAAGGCGCACGTAACAACTACGGAATGCCATCAAGCACATCTGGTCAAATATATTTTTTACCTTTAAGATAACTGCTCTGTCAAGGGTTTCTCTGTCTTGTTCAACGTAGTATCGGGTCACTTGTCAAACTGTATAGGGATGTGCCCCATTTCTCTACATTATATCTATGAATATATCTTAGTAAAAACTCTCTTCTGACATGGGAAGTGAATATCAATTAGTGTAACGTTATTCAGTTATAGTCTGGCCAAATGTTTAGGAGTGTGAGCATTAACGCCCCACTTTACCCAGCTTTGTATCAGTCTTCGGATTTGCAGTTATGGTCTGTACGGAAACTATGCATTCATTTATTTTTGTTTGAAGTTCTCGAAGATCGTGAATGTAAATTAACCTTAATGCTTTTCAGCATTATTAAGGACGTAATCTCCAGTTTCAAAGCCCAAGTCGGCTTCAAAGATGGGGTAAGATTTGCCCTGTAAAGAGTTAAGATTTGTTTACCAATAAATACATAACACTGAGTTTATGATGAAGAAACCAGAATAATATGAATGGTACATGTCAATTCATTCTTGGATTTAAGAGTCACTACCATAAACTTGATAGTTCAGTGTATGACATTTTACTGAATATTTAATGAGAAAGATGGCATTTTACAACAAAGTGTGGCTATGGTTGTACTGTACTTGAATTTTTTTTACACTTAATTAGAACCTAATTACATTATTAGTGTAAAAGGAAATTGGGATTACTAAATGCAATAACTATGTAAAAAAGTTAACTGCTCAGTCAGTCAACACACTTCTTGTGAACTTAGTAATTTTCAGACTTGGTTAATTTCAGCATTCTAGGAAATTAACAAAAATACAAATCCATGCAGGCCCCATTTGAATAGATAATAAATCCTGGAAACATAAACACATATGCAGTTTAATGTGATCCTTTATTGACAACGTTTCGCCCACGCAGTGGGCTTTTTCAAGTCATACATGACTTTTTCAAGTCATACATGACTTGAAAAAGCCCACTGTGTGGGCGAAACGTTGTCAATAAAGGATCACATTAAACTGCATATGTGTTTATGTTTCCAGTGTGTCGGTATTTTATACCATTTATTTTCATAATAAATCCTTTAAAAAATGACGCTGTATAGCCCTTGTGGCTTAGCGCTTCTTTTTTATTATAATAATATTTTAAAAAATGACACTGTTCATCAAAAATATGGCATCTTTAAATGTAGCCCCTACATCTAATAATAATAATGACCATTTGCATAATTTCACCTTTTTTTTTTTAATGCAAGTTAAAAAAAATCCAAGACACCATGCAATGAAAAAAAATACTTAGCCTTAGTAAAAACAAATGTAACAAGTTTCCATGCTCAATTTGAAAAAGGTTTTACTGAAGCACTTACAAATTTCAGAATGCTTAGTCAGCTGTGGAAGCTGCTTACATAAAAACCAGAATCCATATAAATGTATGTCTCAAAAACTTGATTAATCTTATTCTATTATCACCTAGATTTCAAAAATACTCACCCACATTTGGCATTTTCTCTTGCACGCACTCATTTTGGTAATATTTTTGAAATTTGGCAAGGCAAGTTAGAAATAAATTAATAATTCTTGTTATACAACATTGTTAAAAATCAGTCAGATAACATACTTGATGGATTACTTCACCAGGGTTCTGTATGGCTTCTGCTGACAGTCTTGTGCTAACAAGTTTACTTAGAGCCTTCAGAGTTATGAGGTGGTCAGGGTGCTGCGTTATGTTTAGCTGCTTTGCCAGTCGGTTTATTCCATCTGTAAAGAAAAATAAATCTTGTAATGTTCAAGGATGGACATCATTAAGAATAAAAATGAAGAAATACACTGCCTTATAAGGCAAACAAGCACCATGAGGTCAGGCTCTTGAGAAAGACGGGTCATCTATGAGGTCAGGAAAATGTGAGATCAAGTATAGGAGAGGTCATATACTGGTGAGAGTAAAAGGAGGGGGACGACTTTTTCATTTTAACTTAACAGTTGTCTCCAGCCAAGGCAGGGTGACCCAATGATAACATGTTCACTCATTTGCTGTCTTTCCAGAAATGTGCTGACATCACAATCAGATTACCCGTCTGACTTTAACACCCCCACCCCACCTCCAGAGTGCAGGCACTGCCCTTCCCACCTCCAGGACTCTTAAGTCTGGCTAACTGGTTTCCCCTGAATACCTTCATAGAAGAAACCATGCTCACACTCCAACAGCAAGACCGTTAAATAACATCTGCCTCCATGCACTCCTCTTAACATGCTCACACAAGCCTGCTGGAAGCTTAAGCCCCTCCAACCATTCCTGGGATGATCCCTCTTCTCCTACCTTCCACCCTAGATTTATACACCCTGTCACCATATCCCTCTCCACATGCTCAAACCACCTCAATCCCTCCTCAGCCTCTGGTCACCCATATTGCATTTTCATTTCTTTGCTCTGACTTCTCTGCATATTCACATCACTCAATGTCCAACAGGACTGTTGTTTATAATATGAATTATGGACAATGTGCACAACAGGTTCAGCCAACATGAACATCACACTTTTGCTCAACTGTACTGGAGAGATGGTTCACTGTTGTTTCCAAAACTGTCTGGCCCTGTCATTTTCAAGGTGTAACATATGTGTTCTTCCTCAGTCTATAATGTGGGAATGAAGGCCCATTTGCTTTATAAGGTTGTGAATTTGCTCATTTCTGTATATTTGATAAAGCCCAGTTTTGGACAAAACTTTGTATTACAAGGATTCTCTGTCACCAGTAGCTTTATTTTAATTGTTGGCTTTTGCCATTGTCTGCCTGAAGCATTTAACTGGCTTGTTAATCATAAAAAACTGAAGAATTTTTTCTTAAGTTATGGAATATGCTTAACAGTTTGCAAATAGTGTGGGACAGAAAGAGCTTAAAACATTCAAGATGAAAAAGAGAAACTATTCAGAGGATATGAACCAGGCTAAGAACAGTTGCAGGAAGACATGGATTACAATGAAAAGAAACAGGTAGAGGAACAAAATAAAACCTAGCTTATATTAATAATCAGAGGATCAACTTAACTGTAACAGGAATGTAACTGTTTCCTTAAAGCAGTCTAATAAACATGAAAATTACAATACTATATCCTGATCTCTATAACTCAATGCAAGATATCACAATACAGATACACACAGCCAAATATTTGCAAAAAGCACAATAATAACATCTAAAACTCCAACTGCCCCCATAGAAGAACCACGATCAACACTAAAAGATATTCAACTTCAGATAATTAAGAATAATTTAGCAGGGACATTACTAAACCTTTCCTTTTACACCAATTCTACCACCAAATCAGAATGCTCACGAAAAGGCTGCAACTCTAAAGCGTACCTAACTTTCCGGGGAGGGGTGGGAGTGGTCTTTATGCACAGTAAGTGCATGAGGGCCACATTTCTTCACAGCCATGGCACCTTTGGTATTCATAACCCAAGTCAGTATGACCCACAGCACCATTGTGATGAAGTGGCTGCCCAAGCTACTTCCTTTAAATAATAGCCAAATGGGCAAGTTTAAAGCATACCTTGAAATTCTCTAGACAAATAAAACTGTACTCTAAATTGCCAAGAAAATTTTACACAGGGCTTTGCTCCTAGAATGAACACAGTATCAGTTATAGAAAACAGGTAAGATTGATCCTTATATTATTTGCAACAAAAGATGTAAAAATATACAATAAGAAAAAATGAAAGTACGGTGTCCCATAGCTCAATCGATAGTGCACTCAGCTCACACACTGAGGTCTGGGAATCGATCCCTCGGTACGGCTGGAAAATATTAGAACGTGTTTCCAGAAGACACCTGCTGTCCAAGTTCACTCATCAGTAAAATAGGTGCCTGAGTGTTAGTTGACTGGTGTGGGTCACATCATAGGATAAAATTGACCTAATTTGTATAACAAGGGGCTTTCTATAGAGTAGTATGCCATTGATGTCAGATAGGCTTGTATACCGTGTACATGTACTTGTAGAAATAAAGATATTATAAATGAGCCATGTGATTATCCCTTATTCTAAACATGAATAATAGTTACTAAAAAATAACTCATGTTATTTATCTACTTAGTCACATACATATACAAAAATATTTATGATTGCTGTACTTACCTCTAAAGTCTGGGCTTTGAAAGTCTAATGCATCCAGAGGGTTGGTGTTGACAACTTTTGGGGCACTCTGTTGTCGGTTGCGTACATTCTCGCCAGTCTCGGATTTATATTTATCCGCTGCAACAAAGAAAACAATTTGTAGTTACAGTGTATTGTAAATCTGTTCACTATCCTGCGATCCATTTTTCAGGCATCTACCATTATCCAATTGTCTAATGTGATCAAGCAAAATTTGAGAGAAAAAAAAAAGAAATCCCCAAGCTAAATCCTTATTATTATCACCACAAAGTGTGTCAAATTCATATGGGTCAATAGTGTTCCAAGGCTGAAGGATGCTATTAGTGAAACATTGTAGTGTGACAAATGAACTTAAGGGCTAAAAAGGAAAACGAACTCGTGTAATAAGTCAGTCTTGACCAGAATAATAATGCCTGCATTAATAACAAGAACTACCCAATTTACCTTTTTTTTCACAAAGTTTCTCAAATCACCTTACTCTTCTTCCTAAGGTCCCCTCAAGGAAGGTTCCTTGATGTTGGTGAGGGGCTCTTGATTTAGGGAATTGGATCTGTGCTCCAGTTCCCCGAATTAAGCCTGAATGCCTTCCACATCCCCCCCCCCCAGGCGCTGTATAATCCTCCGGGTTTAGCGCTTCCCCCTTGATTATAATAATAATAATAATTCTTCCTAAGGTTACCCTTTGTTAATTTTTACTCTCCTAATCAATGCTTATTGAAATTAGTTCAAGATAATTATTATTACAGTACAGTGGACCCCCGGTTAACGATATTTTTTCACTCCATAAGTATGTTCAGGTGCCAGTACTGACCGAATTTATTCCCATAAGGAATATTGAGAAGTAGATTAGTCCATTTCAGACCCTAAAACATACACGTACAAACGCACTTACATAAATACACTTACATAATTGGTCGCATTCGGAGGTAATCGTTATGCGGGGGTCCACTGTATTCATATACAGTGGACCCCCGCATAACGATGGCATCACATAGCGATTATTTCGCATACCGCTTACTTTAATTGCAAAAATTTTGCCTCACATACCGCTTAAAAACCCGCTTACCGATTTTCGTCCGAGACGCGCTCACATGTTCCGCCGGTGGCATTGTTTACCAGCCAGCCTCCGCGGTAACATCCAAGCATACAATCGGAATATTTCGTATTATTACAGTGTTTTCGGTGCTTTTTCTGGAAAATAAGTGACCATGGGCCCAAGAAAGCTTCTAGTGCCAACCCTACAGCAATAAGGGTGAGAATTACAATAGAGATGAAGAAAAAGATCATTGATAAGTATGAAAGTGGAGTGCATGTCTCCGAGCTGGCCAGGTTGTATAATAAACCCCAATCAACCATCGCTACTATTGGTGGTACAGCTGCTGCTGCTGCTGCACTGTCAGCTGCTGCTGCTGCTGCACTGTCAGCTGCTGCTGCTGCTGTAGCACCGTTGTTGGTGTGGCTTATTGAGAATACCAAGAAACAATTAACCCCAGAGGATTTGCCACCCAGGATAACCCAAAAAAGTCAGTGTCATCGAAGACTGTCTAACTTATTTCCATTGGGGTCCTTAATCTTGTCTCCCAGGATGCAACCCACACAAGTCGACTAACACCCAGGTGAACAGGGAAAAATGCTGGAACTAGTGCTCATATTGGTGAATTAAAGCCAGCAAAGGTTGGTTTGAGAGATTTAAGAATCGTAGTGGCATACACAGTGTGATAAGGCCTGTTCTGGAAGAAAATGCCAAACAGGACCTACAGTACTCAGGAGGAAAAGGCACTCCCAGGACACAGTGTCTCATCAGTCATTGCTGCATCTTCAATAAAGGTAAGTGTCAAATTTTTTCTTCATTTAGAAGACTAGTACATGCACAATATATACTGTGCATGTACTACTCTACTATTGTGCATGTATCCTTCTCTTTGTGTGTGGGAAAATGTATATTTCATGTGGTAAAATTTTTTTTTTCATACTTTTGGGTGTCTTGCACGGATTAATTTGATTTCCATTATTTCTTATGGGGAAAATTCATTCACATAGCGATTATTTCGCATAACAATTACCCCTCTTGCACGGATTAAAATCGTTAACCGGGGGTCCACTGTACTGTACAGTACTGCGATTTGTAGAAAATGTCTACCATAAAATATTCAAAGTACACCATCTCATTCCAGTATCATGTTTCACTTCATAACTGAATATATCTATGCAGTAAGAGTCATAAGAATATAAACTCCAGGAGCCGAAATTCTAGTTTCCGTGTGAACCAAATGAATCCTTGCCAAACTCTCCAGTCTCAAATTATTAATCAACCAATATCTTAGAAACAAGAAATACTTTGAACTGCAGAAAATAAAAGAAAGTACAGTTAATTTAAAGGATTACCTAAGGTATGTTTCTTAAGCAATGACAGGAGTGGTGAAAATTGATAGGTTAGATGAGAATTGGGTTAGTAAGTGCCCATTTATTTGGCTCAGATCTAAAATATTGAAGATGATATCATACATTTAAGTTCTATCAGGACAACATTAAATAACCATGATTTAGACAATAACTTTTTTTTTTCAAATGTGGGGAGTGCTAAACCCATAGGGATCATACAGCACCTGGGGAATGGGAGAAAATCTGGTTCAATCCAAGGAAATGAAGGATGTTCAATTCCTTCGATCAAGAGCCTCTCACTGGCATCAAGGCAACCCCCCTCCCCCGAGAGGAGCTCTTAACCCTTATATAACCATGATAAAGCTGGTAACTGGTAAATAATCATGATATACATACTCAATCTCCATGGGGAAGTGTAACAGAATTCTTCCTCTGTAAGCCATGTGTGCCGTAAGAGACGACTAAAATGCCGGGAGCAAGGGGTTAGTAACCCCTTCTCCTGTATACGTACATACTAAATTTAATAAGAAAAATTTTCATTTTTCTTTTTAGGTCACCCTGCCTCGGTGGGGCATGTCCAGTTTGTTGTAAAAAAAATATATATATATACATACACTCAAAAGGAAAAACACACTTACTGAAGTTTTTAATGGTTTAATGTTTCACCCACAAGTAAAAAAAATTAAAAAAAACACTGTATGGGTGGGGCTCAAATTCATGGTAAGGGAGTTGTAAAACTCCAGGCTAGTGAGTAAGCCACTGGGTCAGTTGCCTACATTAACCCTTTCAGGGTCCAAGGCCCAAATCTGGAGTCACGCACCAGTGTCCAAGAATTTAAAAAAAAAAATTTGTTATTTTTTCTTATGAAATTGTAGAGAATCTTTTTGTGAAGGTAATAAAACAAAAAGTACGAAATTTGGTGGAAAATTGACGAAATTATGCTCTCGCGAATTTTGATGTGTCAGCGATATTTACGAATCGGCGATTTTGCCGACTTTGACTCCTATTTTAGGCCAATTACATTATTCCAATCAACCAAATTCTTAGCTATTTCACTAGTATTACTTCTTTCTATCGATTGAGCACAAGAAATCCCCAAGCATGTTTCAACTACAAATAAAGTGATCGGAAATTGTTAATTTGGCCAATTTAACACAAAGTTCAAAATATTCCAATTTTAATAGGTCCAGAAAACAATAGTAGGCATTCCTGGCACTAAACTAACAAATTCCTCTTTCATTAGTTTGTTTTGAGGCTTTACAAAATAAATTCCATTTTGATTTTTTATTCACATAATGAAAATTTTATTCACACCAAAAATAGAAATTTACTGTTATTCAATACTGTAATAATTGTATAAATATCCAAACACCATTAAATTTTTGAATGTATATTTTGACCCACCAGCTGGCGTGTATTAGATGTGTGAGGTCGTTTGTTTACTCTTGGGAAAATCGGCAAAAATTTAACATTTCCGCTACTTTGAGCTCAGTTTCAAGCCATTTCCAGTGCTAAACCCAAACAAAATCATCTCTATTTCTGTAATATGTCTTCCATTCTATCAAATGAGACCAAGAAATCGCAAATACAACTATAAAAAACATACGAAAAAACACTGCAAAGTTGCTGTTTTAATCGAAAAATCATGATTTCAGTTTTTTTCTCTCATTATACACAGTGTGCTGCAGGATCTGTTTTATGTGGTGCACACATACCACATAGATGTATTCTCTCATATCTAGGCCCAAATGTACCACTCACAGTTTATCAGAGTGAGCTGAGCTCATGGCGTAGATCTACGGTTTGGACACTCACCGTAAAGCCGTAGATCTACGGGACGGACCCTGAAAGGGTTAAGATTCATCCAACTAGGTATATTTATGCACTATAGAGGTGTTAGCATGGGGCCCCACTGTGACCACAAATGCAAGTTTTTACAGATGGATCTCCCACAAGCATGGCCATGAGAATCTCTAGCTCATGTCCCCTCAAAGTCGTCATCATGACCTGCCATGAGTTTGAGCCCTACCCATACTGTGGTTTGTTTGCAATTGTCTTATTTCGATTTTGTGAGTCAACCACAAGTGAGCTTTACCAAGTACAGTATGTGATAAAGGCTATGATGGAAAAGTATGCACAAATAATATTTGTGATCTGATAAAGCCTAACTGTGTGGGCAAAATGTAATCAGTCAAGGATCACACTACTATAAATTTTTTTTCCTAAAGCATACTTGTGGGTGAAATGTACTATTAACCCTTTGACTGTCGCAACCCCCAATCCTGAGGTGTCTCCTGGTGTCGCAAAATTTAAAAAAAAAAAAAAAAATGTTTTTCTTATGAAATGATAGAGAATCTTTTCCCGATTGTAATGACACCAAAAAAAACGAAATTTGATGGAAAACTGACGGAATTATGCTCTTGCAAATTTAGCGACCTCGACAAATCGGCGATTTCGCCCACTTTGAGTCCTATTTTCGGCTAATTCCCTTGTTCCAGTCGCCCAAACTCATAGCTATTTCTTTAGAATTCCATTTTTTCTATCGATTGAGTACAAGAAACTGCCCATTTACCGATTTCAACTACCTAATAATGTGGTCAGAAATTTGCAATTTGGCCAATTTCACGAAAACTAAAAAATACGACAATTTCAAAATAAGGTCCAGAATGAACAATGCAGACATTCCTGGCTCTAAAATAACATTTTCTTTGTTCATCAGTTATGTCTCCAGGCCCCTCTGATATTACTCTTGCTTTCTATTTTGAATTTTTATTCAAACAAAAAATAGATTTACTATTATGCAGACTACTGCAATACTGTAATAATTGTATAAATAACATCAACCCATTCATGACTGCATATTAGAATGGCTAGTTGGACATTTATTGGACAATGGCATCATTTGTTCACTTTTGAACATTGGCAAAAATCAAACATTTCCCCTACTTTGAGCTCCATTTCTAGGTTATTTTTATAGTAAAATCAATCAAAATCACCTCTATTTCTATAATATGTTTTCCATTCTATCAAATGAGACCACGAAAACGAGAATACAACCATAAATACTATACGAAAATAGACCACAAAGTCGGCATTTTAATTAAAAAAAAACGGTCGGAGTTTTTTTTTTCTCATTATGCACTGCGTGCTCCAGGATTTTTTTTATATGGTGCACACTGACCACACAGACCCATTCTCTCTCATGTGGGCCTACCAGCTTTCTCCTGCTTGATTTGAAGCCGCTAGAATTTATGAGTATATATACGTCAAATACGGTACCTCGTACGACATATATATACGGCCACGACAGTCAAAGGGTTAAAGACCTCTGTGGAAAACTGCATTTAGCTGAATGTATCATTATATACATAACAGTAAATGAACATAGATAATTATTATTTATCAGTTAGACAAGTAGGAATTTGGGACACCATGGTCGCAAAAAAATGTCCCCCTTCGATACCTACCACTGTCATATCCACAAGTTGCTCTGGACCTATTAATTAAATGAATTATACATCTCCAGGAATACTGGTAAATATATAAATTTGTGGACTGTGTATTAAAATTAAAAAAAAAAGGATTATATATACACACATTTATATAACAGAAGGAAAATATCTTAATATCACTCACCAATTTGACTGGAAATCAAGGTGTATCATACTCAGAAAACCTCTGTCTATACATGAAAATAACAACTGGCCAGAGTTATAACATAACAGACTTATCCGAGGTTCCTGGAGCTGTCTTGTCCAATCGCCTGATATCTCAAGTTATGCAGGAATGCACATCCAACAATTTCGCCTCCTATTTGAGAGGTGTCAGCCCAATTTTAACCTCTAGAGCACGAAAATTCCCTCCCATTACACTAACGTTGTATCCAATTCAAATTAACAATGGTGACTGACCTCCCCAGCCACAGGTTTCCCATTTTCGATAACATACTTCTTTTAAAAATACAATATAGGGCATCTATTTACCTATAAATTACCATATTTCCGGAAAATATATACAGTACAGTGGACCCCCGCATAGCGAACGCCTTGCATAGCGAACAATCCGCATAGCGAACGCTTTGTTCGCTAAAATTTTGCCCCGCATAGTGGACAAAAACCCGCTCAGCGACCTTCGTCCGAGACGCGTCCAATGTGCGGCCTCAGCCAGCCTCACATGTGCCGCCCGTCCCATTGTTTACCAGCCAGCCTCCGCGGTAACATTCAAGCATACACTCGGAATATTTCGTATTATTACAGTGTTTTCGGTGCTGTTTCTGGAAAATAAGTGACCATGGGCCCCAAGAAAGCTTCTAGTGCCAACCCTGTGGTAAAAAGGGTGAGAATTAGTATGGAAATTAAGAAAGATTTTGAAGGGTTTGGGGCTAACCCTGAGAAGCCTATGCCAGTTGTGGAATCCATTGTGCCTACTTCAAAAATTAAGGAAATGTGTGCACAGTGGGTTGAACTGCAAACCTTTATGGATGAAAATCACCCTGACACAGCTGTTGCAAGCCGTGCTGGTGACTATTTCAATGACAATGTTATGGCCCATTTTTAGGAAAGTCTTGAAGGAACGGGAGGTACAGAGCTCTATAGACAGATTTTGTTGTGCGACAGAGGTCCAGTGACTCTCAAGCTGGTCCTAGTGGCATTAAAAAGAAGGGAAGTAACCCCAGAAAAGGACTTGCTACCTCAAGTCCTAATGGAAGGGGATTCCCCTTCTAAACACTAACACTCTCTCTCCCCTCCTCCCATCCCATCAATCATCACCAGATCTTCAATAAAAGTAAGTGTCATGTAATTGTGCATGCCTTTTTCAGTTTGTGTGTACTAAAATTAACATTTTTTTGTGGTAAAAAAATTTTTTTTCATACTTTTGGGTGTCTTGCACGGATTAATTTTATTTCCATTATTTCTTATGGGGAAAATTAATTCGCATAGCGAACATTTCGCATAACGACCAGCCCTCTTGCACGGATTAAGTTCGCTACGCGGGGGTCCACTGTATTTTCCACAACCTCACTGCATGGTCCTTTTACCAACTATGACAGAGCTGCTAATCATTAAATATCCATAATATAGCCCATTATAAGGCCTTGTCATGGACTGGGCCACAAAGGCAGGTCACTGCCTTTGTGTACTTTGGTGTTCCAGGGTGACCCCTGGATCACCAAGGTACAGCTGCCAGCTTAACACACCTAGAATCCCTACCTCCTAAAACTTTTTTTAATTTTTTGTTAATTCACTGTTATTTGCTAAAGCATTTCTCACTCACCGATTGCCTCATTCCTCCTGTTATGCTATTTCAAGAACCCTCACAGTATATTCAGAGCAATATAACTACATTTTCTGGCAATGCCCGTTTATAAAACCCACATTACACATGTACTTTGTTATTAATATATAGCAAGTTAAAAAAGTGAAAGTTTTCCTTTTTTTCTTTAGTCACCTTAACTCAGTGAGAGACAGCTGGTGTTAAAAAATATACTGTGATCTAATCACCATTCTGCAATCAGAAGGTTGGGTACATTCTTGTCTTGCACATTGAGTGTGCGTGGAAAAACTGGGCATGTTTCCTTACACCTACTGCCCCTGTTCACCTTGCAGAAAGTAGATACCTAGGTGTTAGTCGATGAATGTGGATTGCATCCTGGAGGGCATAACTTAAAATAAGACAGAGTCCCCAATGACATACTACTTTGAGTTATCCTAGGTGGCTAACCCTTTGGGTTAAAAATCCAAACAAATCTTAACATCATTTGAAGTATTCCTGTACAAGGTGCAGCATAAATTGCTTTGCTAAGATTTTTTTTATTTGACTGTACTAATTTTACAACAGCAATGGTACTTTAATATGCTGGATACAGTAGTAAGTTGATTAATATTTTTAGTTTATAGTAGTAGTACAAATTCCATTCTGTATTGTGGTTACCCCATTTTTTGTGTTACAGGGTTGCAGGAAGAACAGGAAATTATTCTCATTACAGTGACTTAAGCTGTGCCCTGTATTTAAAATGGATGATACCTGGAAGCATATTTTAAATAACATTTAGGCCAATAAATTAATGACATACCATTATCACCATACTCAAAGCGTACAGCAAGTCCCAGTAACCAATCTACTACAGCAGGTCGATCATTGGGGTTGGTTGGACAGTTCAGGCCTCCAAGATAACGTTTGTATGCTATGGGCCAGTCATTGGAATCGATAGCTTTTAGGTCACCACGGTCCTCAATCTTGTAATGCCTGATTTTCTGATCTTCGAGCCAAACTATAAGGTCACGAAAACTCTTATCATCTGCAAGAAATTAACATTAATTAATATACCAATGGGATCATCAAAAAATTAGTTTACTTTCATCCCAAGTTTACTAATTACTATAATCAATTTTTAAAAAAACAGGGAAATTAAGCAAATTAATATTACATAAACTTTGATTGATAGGGTTTGGTTACTAGGTTAGTTTTGATGGAAAATTTAAAATTCCTATATCAAAAACTTGCATAACATTAACCATTTTCCTTAGGGAGGGGGGCAAGGGTGGACATTAGGGTGATCCAAGCTATTATTCTTTACAATACATATACAACAAAATTAACATTTCCTATGTAACCTTTAAAACTAAAACTGAAGGGTATTATGGGAATACAGATGAAATTCTTACCATGTTATTTTACAAGCTACTGTATGTATGTATGTACTAGGTATAAATATACCTAAAAAAATACCTAGCTGGATGAATCTTATTGTAACCAGAGGTGTAACACTAA